CATTGACTATCATAACCCTAGTTAATCCCATTCACGATCCATTCTTTCAATACAATCACCACAAGAACATGTCCATCACTTCTCAATCCTACATATGCCACAATAACACGAAATTCACAAGGGACCTACAAAACACCTCATGATGTAAAAAATGATAACGTTCATAAATATATAAAAATTTCATGAAACATGAAGTTATGGGTGGGGGATGAACCCAGAAAAGAAATTCAAAATGTAAAGCAAAGATAAAACTAAAACAAAAGAGTGTCAGTAGTAAGCGTCCACTTCTCAAAATAATAAGAGGAGCCGCTGTATTCTGACGATAGACAAAATCAAGAAGCACGCTCACTAATGGAATGGAAATGGTAAAAATAAAGGACAGAATGGGGGAAATCTAAGTCTGACCCTGTCGAGATTAAAAATGGAGGACAAAAAACAAACTGTGGGGGTTGGGAATCTCAACATGGGCCACAACAAAAGAGAATGTCGGGAAACAGGACGGGAACACTTATTCACATTAACTAGGAATACAAAATTTCATTCAAGAGACAAGAATTGTACATATGGGGACTAGTTAGGACTTCATGGAGATTCTAACGTATTATAAGTGGATGTAGCAAAAACAATAAACAGGTCATCGTTTTTCCTGCGCATTGTCTATCAATAATGAGGGCACTGTCATTTACGGTAGGGTAACAAATGCCCCAGTAGAATATTTATTTTGTATAAGATAGATAATTGTGGCACATGGCCGAAGGAGGTGGACTTCACTGACTATCTGTTATACTAGAACATACCTATTCTATTATTAATAGACTCTTCCACAGATAATAAGTAGTAGTAGTAGCAGTCGCCAGAGCTCAGTGAGTTGAGTGAGTCAGTCGATGTCGGACATTGAAATATCAACCACCACAACTAGATTGCTGCGTCATTAACTATTATTTTCAAGTTCCTAACGTTTTATACGTCGAACCTAATTTAGGACCGACTTAGTGAAATACAAGCCTCCACTGTGAAAACTACTCTACAACACTATCCTATTCCTAGTTAACCACTATCACGACAAATTAATACAATATACTCAATCACAACAAGAACTTGTCCATCACCTCCCAATTCTACATGCACCACAATACCATATATTCACAAGGGACCTACAAAAACACACCATGCTGTAAATATTTGTGCAGTTCATAATCTCTCTATTTTTTTTACATTTTCCTTTTTTATGCTGAGAGGGAATGGCTGTAAAACACTTACCCCTCCCCTAAATTGTAGGAAAATATCATACAAAGGCGTGCTGGGATTTCTTCCTAGCCAATAAAATAGGCCAGTTTTCGGTTTCATCTACAAAGGCCAAGACAAAAGCCACACTAATAATGTTAGTAGCTATCTAACTTGTGGAAACTTGGATAGGAAAGTCTGACTGCCGGAAAAAATATCCAATAAATAATATTAATCATTTCACCCCAAGCAAGGCAATAAAGCCACTAAGACACAAGAGACTACAGAGTGTGAAATAATTAGAAAAAGAAAACATTAGTAAATAGTGAGAAGAAAAGAAGAGGAATTATTAAGGGTGTTTCCTTTTTTTTTAGTTGCAAGATGTGAATGTTTTTTTTCCGTAAACATTTCATGGATCCTGGAAAACATTTGTCAAGCGAGCAATATTTGGCAGATTAATGTAAAAAGAACAAAAAACAATTAATGCATCTTATGAATAAAAGGAATTACATGTGTACACAATTGAAATCAAAAGACATTAAAATCTAGCTATAAGTATACGTTTGCTTGTGTGTGTGCATGAAATAGATGTGTGTGATACACGTGTGCGCGTTAGTTGACTCCACTGTTTTACAGACAATTCTCAGGGAATCTCACATACCATTAGTAGTATATCTATCTATATTTGTTCATACCTATCTATCTCACTGTGATCATTATCTATCTATCTATCTATCTATCTATCTATCTATCTATCTATCTATCTGAATATCTATCTTTATCTATCTATTATCTATCTATCTATCTATCTATCTATCTATCTATCTATCACAGTCTGTTCATATCTATCTATCTATCGATCGATCTCAATGTATTCATTTTCTATCTATCTATCTATCTATCTATCTATCTATCTATCTATCTATCTATCTATCTATCTATCTATCTCTTCCAATCTGTTGCTATCTATCTCTTCCAATCTGTTGCTATCTATCTATCTATCTATCTATCTATCTATCCATCCATCTATCTATCTATCTATCTCTTCCAATCTGTTGCTATCTATCCATCCATCCATCCATCCATCCATCTATCCATCTATCTATCTGAATGTGTTTTTTATCTATCCATCTATCTATCCATCTATCTATCTCTTCCAATCTGTTGCTATCTATCTATCTATCCATCTATCTATCTATCTATCATCTATCTATCCATCCAGCTCTTCCAATCTTTTTGCTCTCTATCTATCTATCATCCATCTATCCATCCATCCATCTATCCATCATGGTTTGTTCCTATCTATCTATCTATCTATCTATCTATCTATCTATCTATCTATATGTTGCTCTCATCTATCCCAGTATCTATCTATCTATCTATCTATCCATCTATCTATCCATCTATCTATCTATCTGAATGTGTTTCATTATCTATCTATCTATCTATCTATCTCTATCTATCTATCTATCTATCTATCACAGTCTGTTCATATCTATCTATCTATCGATCGATCTCAATGTATTCATTTTCATATCTATCTATCTATCTATCTATCTATCTATCTATCTATCTATCTATCTGAATGTGTTCATTATCTATCATCTATCTATCTATCTATCTATCTATCTATCTATCTATCTATCTATCTATCACAGTCTGTTCATATTCATCTATCTATCGATCGATCTCAATGTATTCATTTTCTATCTATCTATCTATCTATCTATCTATCTATCTATCTATCTATCTATCTATCCGAATGTGTTCATTATCTATCATATCTATCTATCTATCTATCTATCTATCTATCTATCTATCTATCTATCTATTTATTCATTATCATCTATCTATCTATGTATCTATCTATCTATCTATCTATCTATCCGAATGTGTTCATTATCTATCTATCTATCTATCTATCTATCTATCTATCTCAATGTGATCATTTTCTTTCTTTCTTTCTTTCTTTCTTTCTTTCAACTTTCTTTCTTTCTCAATGTGTTCATTTCCTATCTATCTATCTATCTATCATCTATCTATCTATCTATCTATCTGAATGTGTTTCATTATCTATCTATCTATCTATCTATCATCAGTCTGTTCATATATCTCTATCTATTTATCTATCTATCGATCTCAATCGATCTCATTTTATTTCATCTTCTTTCTATCTATCTATCTATCTATCTATCTATCTATCTATCACAGTCTGTTCATATCTATCTATCTATCGATCGATCTCAATGTATTCATTTTCTATCTATCTATCTATCTATCTATCTATCTATCTATCTATCTATCTATCTATCTATCCGAATGTGTTCATTATCTATCTATCTATCATCTATCTATCTATCTATCTATCTATCTATCTATCTCAATGTGACTTTTTTTTTCTTTTCTTTCTTTCTTTCTTTCTTAATGTGTTCATTTCCTATCTATCTATCTATCTATCTATCTATCTATCTATCTATCTATCTGAATGTGTTCATTATCTATCTATCTATCTATCTATCTATCTATCTATCTATCTATCACAGTCTGTTCATATATCTCTATCTATTTATCTATCCATCGATCTCAATGTGTTCATTTTATTTCATCTATCTATCTATCTATCTATCTATCTGTCATCTATCTATCTATCCATCTATCTAAATGTGTTTCATTATCTATCTGAATGCGTTCATTATCTATCTATCTATCTATCCATCTATCTATCTATCTCCATCTATCTACCCGAATGTGTTCATTCCATCTATCTATCTATCTATCTATCTATCTATCTATCTCTTCCAATCTGTTGCTATCTATCAATCTATCTATCTATCTATCTATCTATCTATCTATCTATCTATCTGAATGTGTTCATTATCTATCTATCTATCTATCTATCTATCTATCTATCTATCTATCTATCTATCTATCTATCTAGCTCTTCCAATCTGTTGCTATCTATCTATCTATCTATCTATCTATCTATCTATCTATCTATCTATCTAGCTCTTCCAATCTTTTGCTCTCTCTCTATCTATCTATCTATCTATCTATCTATCTATCTATCTATCATGGTTTGTTCCTATCTATCTATCTATCTATCTATCTATCTATCTATCTATCTATATGTTGCTCTCTATCTATCCCAGTATCTATCTATCTATCTATCTATCTATCTATCTATCTATCTATCTATCTATCTGAATGTGTTCATTATCTATCTATCTATCTATCTATCTATCTATCTATCTATCTATCACAGTCTGTTCATATCTATCTATCTATCGATCGATCTCAATGTATTCATTTTCTATCTATCTATCTATCTATCTATCTATCTATCTATCTATCTATCTATCTGAATGTGTTCATTATCTATCTATCTATCTATCTATCTATCTATCTATCTATCTATCACAGTCTGTTCATATCTATCTATCTATCGATCGATCTCAATGTATTCATTTTCTATCTATCTATCTATCTATCTATCTATCTATCTATCTATCTATCTATCTATCTATCTATCCGAATGTGTTCATTATCTATCTATCTATCTATCTATCTATCTATCTATCTATTTATCTATCTATCTATCTATCCGAATGTGTTCATTATCTATCTATCTATCTATCTATCTATCTATCTATCTATCTATCTATCTATCTATCTATCCGAATGTGTTCATTATCTATCTATCTATCTATCTATCTATCTATCTATCTATCTCAATGTGATCATTTTCTTTCTTTCTTTCTTTCTTTCTTTCTTTCTCAATGTGTTCATTTCCTATCTATCTATCTATCTATCTATCTATCTATCTATCTATCTATCTATCTGAATGTGTTCATTATCTATCTATCTATCTATCTATCTATCTATCTATCTATCTATCTATCTATCACAGTCTGTTCATATATCTCTATCTATTTATCTATCTATCGATCTCAATGTGTTCATTTTATTTCTATCTATCTATCTATCTATCTATCTATATATCTATCTATCTATCACAGTCTGTTCATATCTATCTATCTATCGATCGATCTCAATGTATTCATTTTCTATCTATCTATCTATCTATCTATCTATCTATCTATCTATCTATCTATCCGAATGTGTTCATTATCTATCTATCTATCTATCTATCTATCTATCTATCTATCTATCTCAATGTGATCATTTTCTTTCTTTCTTTCTTTCTTTCTTTCTTTCTTTCTTTCTTTCTTAATGTGTTCATTTCCTATCTATCTATCTATCTATCTATCTATCTATCTGAATGTGTTCATTATCTATCTATCTATCTATCTATCTATCTATCTATCTATCTATCTATCACAGTCTGTTCATATATCTCTATCTATTTATCTATCTATCGATCTCAATGTGTTCATTTTATTTCTATCTATCTATCTATCTATCTATCTATCTATCTATCTAAATGTGTTCATTATCTATCTGAATGCGTTCATTATCTATCTATCTATCTATCTATCTATCTATCTATCTATCCGAATGTGTTCATTATCTATCTATCTATCTATCTATCTATCTATCTATCTATCTATCTATCTCAATGTGGTCATTTTCTTTCTTTCTTTCTTTCTTTCTTTCTTTCTTTCTTTCTTTCTTTCTTTCTCAATGTGTTAATTTCCTATCTATCTGTCTATCTATCTATCTATCTATCTATCTATCTATCTATCTATCTATCTATCTATCTGCATGCATGTGGGATTTATCTTGTCTTACAATATCGCGAATAGATGCTTTCTCCCCCTCTATATCACCCCATATTTATTCTTCCTCACAGATTCTAATATTCTACAGCCATTTCTCCGCTAATCTCGCATACCATTGTTAGTGAGCCGACTCAACGTGTGTTGCCCTGTAATATATGCCCCTTCTTTTCTCACTGTCAATATCTAAATATCCGACCAAATAATCAGTCGTTTTGGCGTTGCAAACGTCAGTTTGTTCTTCATTTGGAAACAACAACTGCCCATAACATTTTGTCCGTGTGTTCAATGGGTAAACAAAGGCAAATGCGCTTATTTAATCAGATATATATCAAACTGCCATTATTGTATTATTATACCTATTATTTCGTTACATATAGATAAAGAAATGGGGGATCAGTTTATAACATTTCTTTGTCAAAATAAATCTCCTTTTACTGCTCATGATAATTTGTCCCGCAAACAATATTTGTCGGACTCATGTGAGTCAGGTAAAAATTAGACGACAAAACATGGAATTTAAAACAAAGGACAACAAATACATGATATTAACAAAAGGAATTGCATGCCTGGAAAATTGAAATCAAGGGCCATCCTGGGTAAGACTAAAAACGACATCCGTGTCCACGGTAAGACGATAAACTACATCCGCGTCCAGGGTAAGACGATAAACTACATCCGCGTCCTGCGTAAGACGATAAATTACGTCTAATAGTAAGGCCTCTGATCAGGAGGTTTTGAGGAGCATGGAACTACCTCTTAATTGCTGGTGTTCCCAGGTTCACCCTGACCGAGGGTGGTAGCACCCGTTAAGGTCACAACTATCGGCAAATAGTTAAAACCCAAACTGGGGCCAAAACACTATGACAGTATAAAAATACGTTTTAATACAAAAATATAAAATTATTTCCAGCAATACATTTTTGAAGGAAAAATATTACATGCAATACATTTTTGAAGAAAGAATATTAGCAGCAATACATTTTTGAAGGAAGAATATTAGTAGCAATACATTTTTTGAAAAAAAAAATATATTACCAGCAATACATTTTTGAGGAAAAAATATTACCAGCAATACATTTTTGAAGAAAGAATATTAGCAGTAATACATTTTTGAAGGAAAAAATTATTACCAGCAATAAATTTTTGAGGAAAAAAAAATATTACCAGCAACACATTTTTGAAGAAAAAAAATATTACAAGCAATAGATTTTTGAAGAAAAATATTAGGAGCAATGCATTTTTGACGAGCAATATATTTGAAGGAAAAAAGTATTACCAACAATACATTTTAGGAAAAAAATATTACCAGCAATAAAAATCTTGTCAGCATTAAATAACCCATTGAGGTTGATATGCCGTAAAACAAAACAAACTAAGCCAAACCTATTTGTATATACATGTTACTGGCCATTATTGGCACACAAAGCACCTTATTTGTATAATTTTCCTTTCATTTATTTTGTGTGTTCAATAAATTTATCGTATTTTCCTTTATTTAAACTCGGCTCGTGTCGTCTGTTGTGTGCTTTGTTTTTTAACATCAACGTTACCACAAACATTTTTTTTGTAATACGATACATTTTTTCCGTAGGGTTTTTTAACTTATAAAAATCCTATAATCACTGATCCAAACAAAGGGTGAAAAGACATCTTCAGCTGCTGGTTGAATCCAGCTCATTCTAGTCAAGAAAAATGACATAGAATGAATTTGATAACGCCAGCCGATGATTGAAACAAATCAAGGTTGCTCCTTCATCAAAATAAAACTCAAGGACTGGTGTGATGTCTTTTCTTCACTGTTACCAAGAAAGGTCTCTACGGACATTCTACCTACTACTTGAAAAACATTCAGAGAAGTAGTAACTTTACTTTTCTATATTTGATATAAATTCGTTTGATTTTTCTGTGACTTAATGCCGTATATTTTATATTTTGATTGTAAAACGGCTTATTTTGTTTTAAGTATATCCTTAATTGTAAAAGGAATAATTCTATATCCTTTATTGTAGAAAGTATATTTTTAAATCCTTTACTGCAAAAGGAATAATTTTATATCCTTTATTACAAAAGGAATAATTCTATATCCTTTATTGTAGAAGGTATAATTTTACAGCCTTTATTGTAGGCGTTATAATTTTATATCGTTTATTGCAAAAGGAATAATTTTATATCCTTTATTGTAGAAGGTATAATTTCAAATCCTTTATTGTAAAAAAAAGCATATTTATTGGCACTATACTTGTATTTGCGTTATATGTTTTCTCTTTGTATATAAATGTTACTGGCCATTATCGGCACACAAAGCACCTTATTCGTATAATTTTCCTTTCATTTTGTGTGTTCAATAAATTTAACGTATTTCTCTTTTTTAAACTCGGCTCGTGTCGTCTGTCTTTGTCGTTTGCTTTGGTTTTAACAACAACGTTTCCACAAACATTTGTTGGTACGACGTTACTGTTACCAAACCAAACGAAATCAAGTGAAAACATTAAATCTAAATATAAGGTCCCCAACAATGTGTGTGGGCGTGTGCGTTGAATAGTCAGTAGACCTAGGAAACAAGCGCCGCCCGGCGTGGCACATTCTTTATCTACGTTCGACTGCATCTCGAATCAAGAGGAAAAAAAGAGACCAAGTGAATTAAATGTTTGCCTTTTTTATAGACTTAAATAGTGCTACCTCACAGGCGTTTTTGGCAAATCGAAATTGGGTACCTTACAGAATCAAGAGGAGAGTAAATAACGATTGGAATTGCTTGTAAATTTTTGGAGATCAATGTTGGCTGGTTTGGTTTGTTTTGTTTTGGTTTTTATTTTATGGCATATCAACCTCAATGGGTCATTTAATGCCGACAACTTTTTTTTCCTGCTAATATTTTTGTTTTGTCAAAAATTATTTCTGATAATATTTTTTTCCTCAAAATTGTATAACTGGTAATAATTTTTTCTCCTAAAAACGTATTGCTGGTAATATTTTTTTTCAAAAACGTATTGCTGGTAATATTTTTTTTTCAAACTTTTATTTTTCACAAAGTATTTCTGGTATTAAAACCTATTTTTACACTTTCATAATCCTTTTTACCCCAGTTTCGGGGTTAACTATGTGCCCATAACTGGGACCCTAGCAGGTGATACCACCCCGGGTCAGAGTGGACCTGGGAACACCAGCAATTAAGAGGTAGTTCCATACTCCTCAAAACCTCCTGATCAGAGGCTTTGCCTCTGGACGTAGTTTATCGTCTTACCCTTGACGCGGATGTAGTTCATCGTCATGCCCAGGACGAAAGTTGGCTGGAAAGCAAGAAGCCAGAAGAGAGTTTCACAGGCAAGAAAAGAAAAGGTTACCAAAGTTCTTGCGGTTACATCTATTAAGCACACATAGTTACGGTTTTATGATAACAGTGGCGAGTTCGAATCTTACAGGTGCTTCAAAACAGTGGCTCTGTGACACACTAAATTAAAGCCAATAAACAACTTACAGTAGGTCTCACTTTGGAGTAATAATTAGCAAATTTTAGTAAATACTGTCATGCTTCAAAATGCTGACCTTGTGCCAGACAAAGCCTTGTCGAGTATGCGTTCAAAGAGACTTATTTATTCATAAAGCCACCATAAGGAGAATGTTCTGGGAATTTAATTACAACAATAGTTCTTTGTCGCACACAGAGACAATTACGTTCGTCTTAATGTCGGTCGTAAAAAAAAAAATACACAATCCCCTGCCCAACCACCCATTCCACGTAAGCAAAGAAGATGATAAATAGATAAATAAATAAATAGACGACATACAACCGTAAAAGTAAAAAAAAAAAAAAATTAAAAAAAATCAGTTTTCTTGTCACAAATGTAGAAACCACGTCAGACATTATATCTTCGAATAATTACAAATTTACTTATGTGAACAAACTTACTTAGAAAACACACGAAAGCCAGTCAATTCAATAGCGGCGTAGATTGCGTTAGATATCAGGTATACACATGTACACACACAGAGACGCTCACACGTACTTGTACACACCTACATACCGATAAACAACCCAATACGTACCCAGGGAAAGGCGGTTACATACACCCGTTGTCTCGTACGTTCTCGGAATGACAGATGACAAGGTTTATAGTCACATCCGTCGGCTCTTATTTTCTACTCCGATGTACCGTGTCACTTCAGGACGTTGGCGGTCATGGTTCTCCACATTTTCCTGTCCTTTGCAGCTCTTAATAAATTTTGTCATCACACCTAAACCCTGTTCGGCCATTCATTTACACAAGCTGATTAAATATGTTATATTTTGTTTTCTACTGTCTCTCTTGCCGTCAATATGTCTTGTGTATGCCAAAATTCCCAAGCAATCTTTCCTCATTATGTGCCCTAGAAATTTCAACTGTCTCGTTATATATATATATATATATATATATATATATATATATAATTTTTGTGATGAAAGAATGGGTTTTCGTTAGTAGAGGTTAGTAGTAGTTTCAGTAATATACTAGTCTAATTTTAATTTACTAGTCCAATTTTAATATACTAGTCTAATTTTAATAGGTGTAATTTTAATATACTAGGTCTAATTTTAATAACCTAGTCTAATTTTAATTACTATGTCTAATTTTAATATACTAGTCTAATTTTAATATAGTAGATCTAATTTTAATATACTAGGTCTAATTTTAATATACTAGACTCATTTTAATATCCAAGTCTAATTTTAATATACAACATCTAATTTTAATATACTAGTCTAATTTTAATTACTAGGTCTAATTTTAATATAGTAGATCTAATTTTAATATAGTAGATCTAATTTTAATATACTAGGTCTAATTTTAATATACTAGACTCATTTTAATATCCTAGTCTAATTTTAATATACAACATCTAATTTTAATATACTAGTCTAATTTTAATTACTAACTCTAATTTTAATATACTAGTCTAATTTTAATTACTAACTCTAATTTTAATATACTAGTCTAATCTTAATATAGTAGATCTAATTTTAATATAGTAGATCTAATTTTAATATACTAGGTCTAATTTTAATATACTAGACTCATTTTAATATCCTAGTCTAATTTTAATATACAACTTCTAATTTTAATATACTAGTCTAATTTTAGTAGGTGTAATTTTAATATACTTGGTCTAATTTTAATAACCTAGTCTAATTTTAATATATTAGATCTAATTTTAATATACTAGTCTAATTTTAATTACTAGGTCTAATTTTAATATACTAGTCTAATTTTAATATAGTAGATCTAATTTTAATATACTAGGTCTAATTTTAATATACTAGACTCATTTTAATATCCTAGTCTAATTTTAATATACAACTTCTAATTTTAATATACTAGTCTAATTTTATTATACTAAGTCTAATTTTAATATACTAATCTAATTTTAAATGTAGGTAGAGATGGATTATTGTATATATTGTCTCACTGGCTGAGTTCTCATTTGAATGATACGTTAAACTATATCAAACATTTACAACATAACTGTCCAGATTCGTAATTCGGAAAAAATCTTGTTGAAAATACATCTATAATTATTCATGAAAATAATAAACATAAACTAAATATTCTCAAAGCAATCTATATTAGAATAATTAAAACCAACCCTTAATAAAATTAATTATGAATACTATACAAATGTTTTAAAACGCTTACAGTAGATAGTTTAAAATATTGAGGTTTGTACTAATAGTTTTAATAATTCTTTTTTAAAACTCTCGAACAGAACACATAATTAGTTACCTCCCCTGAAGCGTTTGTCACACCACCACATACTCACGCACCGTTATTCATTTCACCAGTAAAACACTATATATATATATATATATATATATATATATATATATATATATATATATATATATATATATTCATAATGGCAGCATGTTTTGGTTGAGACATTTATTTATGTTGGCCGCATTACGACCACGTTGCCTCGGCGGCTAATTTTCATTTTGATTGATGCATCCAATATATCTACATTTGAAAATCAGAAAAAATATTGTTTAATGAAAATAATAAACATAAACTAAAATTTCCCGAGGCTATCCATATTAAAATTGAAGTCAAACCTTAACAAAATTAATTATGAATAGTGCGCAAATGATTTAAAATGTTTACAGTAGATAGTTTACTTAGCTACCTCCCCTGAAGCGTTTGTCTCACCACCGAGTACTCACTCAGCGTTCTTCATTTCGCAAGTAAAAATAATATATATATATATATATATATATATATATATATATATATATATATATATAATGAACACAGCAATTTTGTCTTTGAAAATGATGAACACAACAATATTTGTCTCGATATAAACAACAACATGATGATGACATGGTGCTATGTCGAAAGTACTCGGAATAAAATAGTATGTAACAACACAGTGATTTCCTCTCTTGCTTTAATAATAACATTAAAAAGCTTGTCAGTGATATATATATATATATATATATATATATATATATATATATATATATATATATATATGGTGGACTCTCCCGTCGTATGAGGGGTCAAGCAGCTCTGTTTCTAGGAACCGATCGCCAGACACCAGCACATATGATTTTATTATAGTGGTGAAGGCTTTGTGCAGAACCAACCACACTTTTTGAAGGGCCGAATACAGAGACCTGGTGCACTAGCTGCCACAAGGTCCTCAAAAGACCCACGCATGTCTTGAATTCAGGTTTGTCTTTCTCCTAGACGAGTTTGCCATCCAAGGCTATAAAACCCAATCTATCCTGATATTTATCTATAGCTGGAAGGAGAAGAAGAGGCTTAATATCTTTCCAAAGGGTATTACCACATAAGTGAATGCAATATATATATATATATATATATATATATATTCAGTCGTATGGATATGAGTTTGTGACCCTGGATTTCTTTATCACTGATATTGAGCGCATTCCTATAAGTACTGCGCATATAAAATACTATATATATATATATATATATATATATATATATATATATATATATATATATATATATAATGAAGGTATTTCATGCTTAGACGCAATCGTCAGGCATTTGCATTTAAGACTGTCGATTCTGTTAAATCGTTACTGTTAAATTGTGATGGAGATACATGTGTCTATGCCATGGTCTGTTTCGCATCTGAGTGTAGTTGTAGAATTCTTTCCCTTTTATTCAGGAAGAACGGCTTCTCCGATTGTTATCTGTTCAAAATGCAATCTGATTTGTTGATTATGATCACGTGATCAGGCATACAAATTTCTGCATCGAAAAGTGATGATCATAAAAGTTGAGCGTGTCATAGTTCAGTGAGCATGTCTAATGACAGCAACGTGTTATGGAGTTCATGACAAAAAAGCGGTACAAGTGTCAGGGATTAAATTTTATTGGACATTATAATGACAATCCCCAAAGCTTTAGTACACAAAGATTAAATCTCAGTGTGTGTGTGTGAGACATCAAGAAAAAGAACATAATTAATAAGAATAATGATGTTGGTGATTGCAAATAAATATAATTTTCCTATATATTTTTTACAAATGAATGACAAATAACTGTTTTCTTAGGAGAATCATTCTTTAAATATAATAAGTAAATAAATCTTGGGAGAAGAATGACGGTTATATTTTAATTTGAAAGGTTAAAGGATTTATCAATAAATTCGGAATGAAAAGCACTACTATCTATCTATCTATCTATCTATCTCATTTCATATCTATCTATCTATCTATCTATCTATCTATCTATCTCATTTCATATCTATCTATCTATCTATCTTTCTATCTATCTATCTCAATCTGTTTCTATCTCTCTTTCTCTCTATCTATCTAACTATCTATCTCAGTCTCTTCATACCTATCTATCTATATATCTGTTTGTATCTCAGCTAATATCTATCTATCTCAGTCTCTTCATATCTATCTATCTATCTATCTATCTATCTATCTATCTATCTATCTCAATCAGTTACTATCTA